GATTCCTTCTCCAAAGGGGGAAAAGGAGAACAAAGAAAAGATCTTGCAAATTCTGTTTGCTTTTAAGCATATATTTAGATGAATGCTTTATTCATACTCTACACAGTACCTGCATGCTGAATAAGAAAAAAGTGAACTTAGATTCCACCCTATTCTCTCTTTATATAGCTTGAACTGAAAATTACTTTCATTGTATCAACTTCTAAAGATTGTTTGGGGTTCATTTTCGAAAGGGACTGATAAATATTTGGGATTGTCTTGTCTTTAGAAACACACTTTACATTGTTTAATCTTATTTCCCAGTTATTGAAGGAGATATTGATTTTTTATGTTTTTTTAAATGACACTGCCCTTAATTTTTTTTATGTAAGTGCTGCCATTTTAAACTAATGTAAGCCCTGTATTAGGGGATTAATATTAATATTATCACTCTTATTGTTGTTGTAAATATAATTTAGATATGGAATCTACAAACTCCAGGAAGTAAAATTTTTGTTTACATTACTTTTACAAACTATCTATTAATTTCACTTGTATTAAACATTGTTATAATTGTTTGTTTTTAACAGTTTAACAGTTTTAACATCCCCTAAAAGCTGGAAGTATACCAAATAAAATAAAAGCAATCTTCAATAAAACAGCCAATAATAAACCAGCTACTATAAACCAAGATGTGCCTAGATGTGTAATAAAACCTTAAAAAATAAGTAATTTGAAGTTCAAGTCTCTTAGAACTGACTTAGGGAAGAACTGATCTCACAGGGATGGATATATTCCGAACGGCAACATAGTTTTAAAGAACTTTTTATGTTTCTCTAGCTATGAAATGGAAGGTAGTAATTTTTACCAGTGACCAGCCATCTTCAGGAACCAGCTCGCAAGTTTATATTACATTATATGGGGAACAAGGCAATTCAGGAGCTGTCTTTCTATACGGGGAGGAGAAAAAAGTGTTTGAAAGAGGAAGCACAGATACTTTCATTGTAAGTATTTATTATAACAAAAATTTAGAACAATGCCATTTAATTAAAAGTTCTTATTTGTTTAATATTAGTGATATGTGACTATTTATGGGAAACAGTATCATTTCGTATGGTGTCATTTTCTGTTTTCAACTGCCACAAGACTTGAGCCAAGTAATTCAATAGTAATAGCACTTATATACTGCTTCATAGTGCTTTAAAGTCGTCTCTAAGCAGTTTACAGAGTCAGCATATTGCCCCCAACAATCTGGGTCCTCATTTTACTGACCTCAGAAGGATGGAAGGCTGAGCCAACCTTGAGCCAGTCAGGATCGAACTCCTGGCAGTGGACAAAGTCAGTCTGCAATATTGCATTCTAAACACTGTGCCACCAACAGCTCCTAATGATATAATGATGTGGCTGCTTCAATTTGTGACACAACTCACTCAACAAGAGCTACGATGAATGCAACTTCTGTTACTGTTTTTTCCTCTTTGATCCTTAGCTTGGAATTTACTTCAGAAGAATGTATTAACAAATTGGTAGGACTCGTTCAAATGACTGATTTTTCTTGCTTTTGTGAAAGCTAATTCTCACACTGTCAAAAATACAGCCTGATATCCAAAGATGAAAGAGATGGCAACTGTCTCCTGTTCAAAACGAGAGGCCATCTAGTCCAGAATTCCTCAACCTTTCTGGTTGTGCACGAGCGGAGAGCAACTGCACCCACAGCCTCATTTGTGTGAGTGGCAGGCATACATGCTCACCCGCTGCTCATACAAGTGGGGATGCAGGCATGGGTGCATGATCTCCCACCACTTTGGATATCCCAGTTCTGAACAGCTCACAGCCCAGTAGTGGGCTGTGGCCCGGGGATTGGGAACCCCTGATCTAGTCCATTGCACAGGTCAGGTTGGGAAAACAGCAGAAACATTTTGAACCTTTGGTTGTAAATAGTGTAAATTTATTTAAATAGTGATTTCATTTTATATACAATAGTAATTGAAAATATTTCATAATTGCCTAATGGTTTTTTTTTCCAAAATAAGATTAATTATCTGAACTTAAGTATGCTCAAACATCCATTTTAGATGTTTTTCTCTGTTTCTGAAGATGAAGGAAATTGTGACTACTAACATACCAGCACACAGTTCTATATCTGTCATTGCGTCTTCCTAAATATAAATCTAGTGAAGGCAGTAATACAGATATAGCCTATTCATTGGTAGATATTGCAGTTTGTTGTTAAGAGACAAGTATGTCAAATGACTGAGATGTCAGAGCTTTTAGAAAAAAAGAGGCTCAGAAATGGAATACTACTGGGATTCCATTGGTCAGATGGTTGCCTGCTTTGGTCTGTTCAAATGTATGGGACAAAAAAAGATTCAAATTGAAATACAGCTGCTAGCAGCTCATAACACTATGAATTTATTTCATGCTTTGTCAAAGCAATATCATTTATGACTACACAATATAATTGTGTAATTTTGAGTTTAATGAATCTTAGTTCCTGAAAAATGTAGATTAAATTGAACAATAATTGCTATAATAACATAAAATAATCAGTAATATTCATATAGGTGCTGAAGTAACTCCGGCTTCTAAAATGATCATTTTAAGTCTTTGTAAATTTATATTAACAAACTGTAAAATGTTTTTCTAGTGAACACTCTGTTCGTCACAATTATGGTCTTAGAGTTTCTATTTGATTACATTATATTTCAGTCTTCACAATCTCTGAAGCTTATGATCATTAAGATACAAATCACTTTGAGGGCAACATGTTGGGAAGAGATACATGATTATCTGGGTGAAATTCAAAGTAACTTCATAGTTTCATTGAAATTGAAGAGGCTTTTCCTCTGAAATTTCCCTAGAAGTCTTTTGATTGGAAAAGTATTATAAATCTTATATATAGAAAGAAGTTATGGTAGCATATTTGTTTTCAAAAAGACATATGATCTACTATTTGGTTTGCTATATAATACAAACAGATTCACACGGAAGACTTGGGAGATCTATACAAAATACGGATAGGACATAATAATTCTGGAGAAACCCCTGCCTGGCACTGCAAAGAGGTGACATAAATTAATACTATTTATTTATTTAGGTTTATATGCCACCTTAATGATAAATGAACTGCATATACTGTAAAAACTTTGTTACATTTGTTGAGCTTAAAAAAATGAAAATGTCAGTCATGAACATATTATGTGCTATATGGCCAAAACGCTAGGATACAGTATGTTCCTCTCTGATTTTGTGATTGAAATAATGAAAATCTAAGGAATTAAATAAATGTTTCCCATATGTTTTCAAGTAGGATACATAATGGGGGACAGTGAATAATATCTGTAATACTGAATGAGATATGACATTGTATTATGATTGATTGCTTATGTGTCACCAAATCAGTGTCAGTCAACTCTTAGCAACCATACAAATAGTTTTTTTTCCAGGAGGCTCTGTCCCAACTTGGTCTGTCAGGCACTCTGGTTAGAACATGTAGTTCAGAGAGAGCATCTTAACATGCATAACCAATCTATTTCGTTTGTTGGCAAATAGAGCTTTATATATTATCTTCTCCTGCTGGACAGAGAGAAATAAACCTTTATGAACATGCACAAACACACACATATACCTACACACAAACACAAACAACCTGGATGTCATCCTAATCATACTTTAAGTGTAAAGTTAATATAGTCTCTCAATGAAAAGTTTTCACTGCTATAGAATGTAATTAATAGGCTTGAAATTTCTTTAGGGTCTCTTGAATATTTTAGGCTTTAGGGCATGGAGTGAAAGCATTTTGTTCACTCTGGATATGCAAAATCCTATTCTATCCTTAGAACTCTAAGAAGCTCAGTTATAGTAAAGCACACATGCAAAAACACATGCAAACATGCTCATATACTACTAAAATAGCATATGAAACCTTTGAATTACGTTCCGCATGCCTGTAAGATGAGTGTGAAAAATGAGTCTTTTTTAAACATAAGCTCAGTAATTGATCCTAAGAATGGATTGTAATAGCAAAAAGCCCTACTCCATTTCTGCAAAGGATAACCTAGATTCAATTGTCTGTCTTCAGCTGCAATTGCAGAATCTTGTAACAGGAGAAAAGTACGATTTCTCTGTTGAAAAGTGGCTGACGCAAACTCAAGATGAAGGTGAAATCAGTCAGGAACTTCCTGTTTTGCATCAGGGGCAGCCCATTCTTCCAGGTAAGATATGTATTTGATCATTCTGCTGATTGAGTAATTTCCAAATATTTGTGTAAGAATTTATATTAAATATAAATTTAAATTAAATATACCGGTATATACTGTATTTTTTTTGTGTGTGTGTGTGTGCGTGCGCGTGCCACAATTAAGATACTGACAAACTTTTAAACCTAAATTTCATGGTAATACCAGGCATATCAACCAATGTCTAACTACATTTGGCATTCTGTATGCTTTATAATCAGTGCACCTCAAAAAGATCATTAATGTATCAATGGAAAACAAGGAGCCAGACTAGCCAAAAGGACAAAAAACAAACAAACCTGGAATAACACCTATTTAGCATCAATAACACCTATTTAGCATCAGTTGCTAAAAACTGGGGTCATCCACTGAAACTGAATATAGAAGAGTCTGGACAAATAAGTATTTATACAGTCCTAAGAACTTTTCTTCCACAAGATATAGAGATAGCTGCCAATTTAATACTTTTGAAGGGATTAAAGATATTTTATGGTGGGAAAGACTCTTAATAGTTGCAAACATGATTAACAGTTGGGTTGGCCACTGAGAGAGAAAAATGATAATCTAGTTATGTCTTTGGCTTGATACACAGCTCCAGATCATTTGTTTTGTCAGGTTTCAACCTCAGGGACAAACAGATTTATTTATTTCTGTCTGTCCTGCCTGATGTGGTATGAGAGATAGGTAGGAGAGCAGGTTGCATGTTCTATCATCCAAGGAGTATTGACAAGGCTTCAAAGAATAGCCTTTTCTGTCATTATACCTGGAACATCATCCCCATAAAATTAGATTGGCCCCACCACAGTGCTGACCTTTCATAAGTCTTCGAAGACCTGGTTCTGTGCCTGAGCCTGTGCCAGGTGTGGAATGGAACTGATTTCTTGGGTATGTTGAGGATTTGTAATGGTTCTCCAACCACCATGTGTTTTATTGTAATTTATGCATGTTTTAATTGTGAGCAACCCAGAATCATGTACTTGAAATGGTCAGCTAGATACAGTGAATAACTATGATGTTGATACATGTTGAGTCAGCAGTATAAAATAGTTGTACATAAAGCATAATGTTGGTAAATTGCTGTCCTTCATTATTTTCAGTGGCAATGTACAAGGTGCATGTAGTAACTGGTGATCTCTGGAATGCTGGGACAGAAGCTGATGTGTACATAGCAATCTATGGAGAAAAAGGTGACACAGGGTGCCGACAGCTGCATAGGTCAATGAAGTCTCAAAAACACATGAAAGGACAAGTAAGTGAATTAAAGTAAATGCCCTCCTCTCATAGAACAAGCTGCCAAATAGATATACTATCTATGAAAGTCCTTTTTTTTACCTGAAATATAGATAAAAAGGTAAAGGTTTCAGTTATGTCCAACTCTAAGGCACAGTGCTCTTTTCTGTTTCTTGGCCAAGGGAACCAGCATTGTCAGAAGGCACTTCCATGCTCATGTGGCCACCATGGCTATATGCTGAGACTCATGGAACACTGTTACATTCTCCAGCACAGGAGATGGAGAATCCACCAATGGGTTTTCTCTGTCTGCCTGCTCTTGAGACCAGGTTAGCCAAACGTGACATGCCCCCTGTTGCTAGGAGAGCCCTGGGGAAGGAGAACGGGGAAGCTGCAGCTGCCCCCCCCTCAAGCCTCAAATCGGCCGATTTGAGGCAGCGCTGATCCCAGCACTCCTGGGAAGCCGGTTGTGAAAATACAAGGCAGGATCTACTGACCTGGTGAGGAATCTGATTGAGGCAAGTGAATGAGGTAAGGAGAATTCACCAATGGATCTCTAACCTGCTAAATATAATTTCTGGATCTCTGATTTCTGAGAGCCAAACCTGACACATCTTCAAGAGCTTGAGACCAAGTAAGACTGGAATCTCCTAGCAACAGGGGGCATGTCAAGTTTGGCTAACTTGGTCTCAAGAGCAGGCAGACAGAGAAAACCCATTGGTGGATTCTCCATCTCCGTGCTGAGAAAAGGCGTTCAGGTAAGACAACGCCCCTTCCCAACGAAGTGGTTCCTATTTATCTAACTGCATTTGCATGCTTTCGAACTGCTAGGCAGGCAAGAGCTGGGGCAAGTAACTGGAGTTCATCCCATTGCATGGGCTGTCAGCTCTCCAGCTGACAAGCTTAGCATCTTTAACCGCTGAGCCATTGTGCCCAAAATGTATTTTTTGTTTTTCTCCCCTAGACAATTGAATTGAGTCCCATTTTGGTTTTCTAATTTTTCTATTTGGCCCACCATTTTGTATATTGGGATATTTGAACAACATAGGTTACTTTTTGTCAGTGTTATCTTGTTACACTGCCCAAAGTCACATTGTTTGAGTTGAGCACCATTATAAATGTGCAAAATAAATAAAATAAGTTCATATAAATATAATGCTTTTCACAATTCAGCAACTACTATCAAGTTGTATAAATCTGCATCACAAACAATATTTATTAAAAAATAACTTCATTAAATTATAGAATTATTATACATACTCACGCTCATATAGATTTTAAGAAGAAAGGTTGATTAAATATGATTATGTCTTTTTCCTCCTCTTTTAGTCAATGCTAAATGACTCCCTTTGGTATTTTCCAGTTTAAAAATGCTAGACATCTATTTATATATGAAACTTACAGCAGATGAACAGAACAGTTATTTGTTAGGGAAAAGAGGAAATTGCACCTTAAATTTTTAGCATGAATAATAAATACTTCCAGCACTGCTAAGTCAATTTAGCTTTAATGTAGCAATTTTGTGACTATGCTATCTTCACTCCCTTAATTAGCCTGAGGCAATATAAATCTTGTAGAAACTAAATTTAAAGAAAATTATAAACAGTTTTAGTGTGTGTTTGTGGCTTTAAAAATTATTTATCACAGTTTAATTCAATTAATTGGAGTAAAACATCTTACTGATTTTCTTAACTTGTGCATTTAACAGTAATTGATTAAAAGTATTTTTCCCAGTATTGCTCTTTTAATACAAATAGAAACTTGTTTAGGATTTATGTTTCACATTTACATATGTGGGTTACTTGAAAGAGAATGAGAAAAGACAAAACACAAATTCTTAAAATTAAGTGTGTATTATTTGCTTGATTGCAGACCAATACATTCTCACTTGAAGCTGTGCACCTTGGACATTTATGTAAAATTGTTATAGGACACAATGGACTTGGCTCAGGTCAGAAATTTTAAAGTATTTATGTACTTCAATGACATAGAATATGATATGGTTTTTTTTCATAGAACTATTGGGAGTTTAAGAATAAACATTTCTGAAGAAAAAGCAGTGGCCCATTTATGGAAAGAAAATTATTAAGGGAGATCTGGCACCTTTCCCCAGCACTGCTTCTGATACCTGTGGGGGAAAAAATGTTTAACTTTTATACATTATGTGCACATTTTGTCGATGATTTTTTTCAGACTCCAATGATTCCATTCTTAAATTTCTTTAACATTGATTCTTAAGTAATAGTCATTATTTATTAATTACTTATTTTATTTTATACATTATACTTGTATATGAATAATAAACTGGTTTTCAAAAGTAAAATGCCACTATACAATTGTAGTCAGCAGAATGCTGTGCATTCAGTACTATAAGCATGAACAAAAGGAAGGATAAAATTGCATCTTAGATAATTAACATAACTACAGTATTTAGAAAGCTGTATGTTCCTTCAGAAAAATGGATGGTAAGAATGTTGGAACAGGTAGTGTGGCTCACATAGCCAAATACCTGGGTGTGCTTTTCAATGCTTCACAAGATCTTAAAATGTGAGCTGATACATTTATGGAGATAACTAAGAGATAGTACTAGGTCCCAAGTATTCTAGGACCATATAAGTTAATATCTACCATATCCCAGCAAAATCTATTTCTTTCTGAACCTCCTTCAAGAAAAATATGTATGAAATTGCTCCAATCTTTTATAACTAGAAAATGAGCTTAATATTCTATACTTTTTTGAGCATCTGGACTATTTTCAAGGACAGGCTTTAGCAGGAGATATTACATAACCTGTGATTCTACAAATACAAATTCCTTTATTGTCAAAGTACAACATGCGTACAATGAGATTGGCTGAGCCTCCCTTCGTGCACTCCCCCATCACAACTCACAATGACAACAAACACACAATCTTATTGCACCATGTGAACTTATTGCACAACGCGCCGGCCCCGCAAGTCTATCATACATGGAGTTATTTTCCATTCAGGAGTCTGACAGCCCATGGGTAGAAACTGTTCTTCAGCCTGTTGGTGCGGCTGGCTATGCTTCTATATCTCCTACCCGATGGTAGGAGAGTAAAGAAGTGCTGACCAGGGTTTGAGTCGTCCCTGAGGATTTTCCTCACTCTTCTAAGGCAGCGGGCCCTAGCGATGGCGTCTAGTGGTATCAGGGGATAGCCCACGATGTTTTGTGCTGTGCTCACGACTCTCTATAGTGTCTTTCTATCCGCGGCTATCAAGCCAGCATACCACACCATAATGCAATGTGAGAGATTCTAAGGCCCAGTTTATATGTCCTTGACACACAAGATTTTAGATCTTTTCCTAAAGAATCTACATTTGCATAGCTCAATTTCCATTTATCATCCTAAACAGTAGGTGCTTTATATTGCGAAATGTTTTGGTGTCACAGCTGTCTTGAATTAGAGATAAGAAATACAATAAACAAATAAACAAGCAACTGAATATTGCAGCACTGTATGCATTATTTAAATGTAATACAAAAAATGGCTAATTAACTTATCAAGTATGTAAGCTTGCACTTTTTGAATAAGTCAGCACAGAGCTGTCATGAGATTGCAGTGATATTAATACATACTTGACTTGATTTCACTATTAAGAATGGAATATTTATATTCTCACCTAGGAAATGGTTGGTTTCTGGAGAAAATTGTAGTCCAGGATCCTATCACAAACTCAGATTATATCTTCCTATGTTACAGGTTTGTTCAGTTTATTATTTTTAAAAATTATAATAGCCAGTTCACAATGTAAATTTTTCATCTGATTGGAATGACTAAGGTAAGAGAGAAGCAAAACACTAAGGAGCTGACAACTGAAGGTCCTTCTGACTGAGGGAGCTTTCTAGGACCAGCTGCCCAGGAATTGATTTTTCCAATTCTTTGATGTTTGGGAAAGGTGAGGTATAGGTAAACACTAAGGAACAAAGTCCCTTTAGCCTCAGATTCCTTAAAAACTATCCTCACCTGTCTCTCAACCCTGCAATCATTGTCAAACTGAACTTTCAAACAGTTGATTGATAATGAGAAAAAAAAAATCCTCAGTTCAAATTAAATTCCATGTGGCATTCTCATTTTCAATTCTTCCTTAAAACACTATTGAGTGAATTTCAGATATTTTTCACTTTTGCAATGTGTCTTAAACTTCTGCCACAAAGTTTGGCTGGTTGTTCTTTGCTAGAAAGATAATTCTGTTAATGGAAAGACTTTCTTGGCTTCATTGAGATCTGAACATAAGAGCACTTTTGTGTCTTATGTGTCACTGTGTTACTTTTGTGAATTCTCTACTTCAGCAGTTATCTGTAAGGTTACAGCCAGACTAGGTCCCTCCAAGGTGCCTTCCAACTCTGTTATTCTGTTATTCTGACTACAAACAGCCTGATGATCATTAGATGGCAGACATACTTAGATTTTTCTCTTTGCTGCATTAATGGTTATGTGGAATTTTACAGCCCAGATATATTAGTCCTAAGGGAAGACCACAAATTGAAAACATGAATTCATGTTTCCAGCAACTGGTACAGAATTGTAAACTGCCTCTGATACTTGAGATAAATATATACCTAGTCCAAGTGATATACTGTACAATTTCAAGCTTTATATTTTGCCTGAATCAAAATGAACTCCTGATTTGTTTTCAAGTGACAAAATCAGGGGCAATTTACTTCTAATCATTTTCATGTCCACATACAGAAAATCTGTTGTGTATTTGAAATTCTATATTTTAATTATACTTGGCCTTAATTATACTTCATGTTTCATGTGCCCATGGTGGCAAAACCTTGTGAAAATAGATGTTGTCTTATAAAATAATCTTTGTTTCTTTTTGCTTTAAATGAATTATATTGTGGCTATTCAAGGAAGAATGTTCCCAAATTATATCTTATTTAAGATACTTTATCTAATTTTAGATCATGCAGCTCAGCCACATCGATTTGTAGCTGAGTTTTATTTTTATGTATGCATACATTATGTATGTATATATGCTTTAAAGTGTATATGAACCATAGTTAAGTATGAAAATAAGTAAATATTTATTTATTCTTGCTAAGAATATGTCACTTTATGTCACTTTAATGCCATAAAATTAAACAGCTTATACTGCAATGTCATGTTCAGTAAAAAGTTACAGGAAATAAGTTCTTGAAATGCAATGTAATTGTAGGAATGTTTTGTTCATATCAATTATATATTCACAATTATATATTCAATCCATTCCTGCTAGTGCTTTTCTAGAATAGACTATCTTCTCCTTTTCCCACACTAAAAACATCAATGGCTGTAAGAAAGTTTCTACACAGCCATAGATAGATAGATAGATAGATAGATAGATGATAGATAGATAGATAGATAGATAGATAGATAGATAGATAGATAGATAGATAGATAAATAGATAGTCAGTCAGTCAGTCAGTCAGTCAGTCAGTCAGACAGACAGACAGACAGACAGAGACAGAGACAGAGACAGAGACAGAGATAATTGTATAGAAAATGATTTGTTTGTACCTCTGTAGGCATCCTTGTATGTCTTTAGTTCTTCATTCTGAAATATGCATCAGTTTAATGGATTTTCCATTCAAAATTTTCATCATCCCTGGCGTGATCTTTGTACAATCAGGTCGCCATGTTTTTCTGTATAATCAAGAAGTGGCCCAAAGTGCAACCCTCATTTCATGTATATAGTTTTTAATTCATATTAATGTTTTTGGTTTAAATAGTAGCATGCCAAGATATATTCTTATTACATAATATATTTCTCCCCCTAAGATGGCTAGATCAAGGAGAAGATGATGGCAAAATTGTCAGAGAACTTTATGTCATTGATAATTACACCATTGCAAGGAGTAAGTATAAGCCAAAGTCCTTGGGGAAAGACATTCTCTGAAAAAGACTGAAAAATTATATGTATATGTATATGATATTATGATATTATTAATTTTTGTAGCATCTAGATAACATAGACTCTGAATTTCCTAAAGTCTGGTGCACTGTACGATAAGAATAATATCACTGGATATTTCTTTGAAACAGAAGGATTAGCATAGAGTTCAGAAGCTGAATAATTCTAAATA